TTATTCCAGTTAAGTTTGCTGTCCAAGGTAAGACCTAAATATTTTACCTCAGAGGATAGCTGGAGTTTTGTGCTGAAAAGACTTGGAAGATGATAGTTATTCAGCATCCGTTTTTGTGTGAACATTACTAAAACCGTTTTATTTGGGTTGACGGTTAAGTCGTATTCCCTGCACCATCTCTCCACTATACGGAGAGCCGCTTGGGTCAGGTCGCACACTATGCTAGCTGTCTTTCCCGAGACCAGTATAGTCAGGTCATCAGCATAACCTACTGTATAAAAGTGATTAGTATTTAATTTGCTGATGAGTTCATTAATGACCATACTCCACAGGAGAGGTGAGAGGACCCCACCCTGCGGGCAACCTTTCTTAATTAGGATTGGTTGAGATTCACCAGCAATCTTTATTATTCGTGTACTGAGCATGCAAACTATCCAGTCGATCAGTGCCGATTCAACTTTATGTCTACTGAGTGCACCTTTTATGCTGGAGAAGTTTGTTTTGTCAAAAGCACCTTCTATATCTATGAAGGAACCTAGACATATTTCTTTGTTTTGGATGGCCCCTTCAATCTTAGTAATTACCTGATGAAGTGCCGATTCTGTTGATTTGCCTAGACTGTAGGCGTGTTGCTTGTCATGTAGTGGTAAGTTCATTAGCGCCGACCCCCTTAATTCCCTTTCACACATCCTCTCCATCGTCTTTAGGAGAAAGGATGTGAGGCTAATGGGCCTGTAGGATTTAGGGTCAGTGTAATCGCTCTTACCTGGTTTGGGTATAAATGTGATTTTCACTTGACTCCATCCCCTAGGAACATATTTTAGAGCCAGACAGGCTCTCATTATGGCAACAAGTCTGACTATTAGGGCTTTACCCCCCCACTGTAGAAGTGCCGGGAATATGCCGTCAGGTCCTGCCGCCTTATAGGGGAGGAAACTGTGAATGGCCCAATGGATTTTGTGATCATGGACTATATTTTTAATATTGTATTGATACAGAAAGTGACCGAATTTAATTGGTTTAAGAGTTACTCCAGACAGCTGATCATTTGAGATTTTACTTACGTGAACTAGAAAAGGAGCGGCATCATCTTGAGAGTACTTAACTTTTTTATTAATAAAATCAGGATGGGTATATGAGGATTGTATTGAAGGAAACTGTTGATTTGGATCAGTAATAACTATTTTTTGTGGATGGGCGGACTCGTTACTTACTTGGGCACGTTTACGGTTAATTAGTTCTACATTATCAATGTTAATGTGTAAGGAAAAGGAATCATTGCGAACCCTTCCGAGATCGGGAGGTTCGTCCTCCATTATATTACTACAACAAAAAATTACATAAAAACGGCACAACTACAAAGTAAATCAACAACACTTAATAAAACAATAAATTTTAAGCAAAAAAGGCACGACACTTGTATCTCTCACTCTCACTTCCTCCCGGGACCCACCGGGCCCACTCTAAGTTAATCTCCAATTTTGTCTAAAAAAAATTGTTGGGTAGTAGAATAGTGAAGTTAAATATTTTGAAGTATTGTTGACATGTTTATCTAACATTATCAATGTTTCAAGTCAGAAATTCAATGGTGGGTAGACAAAAAAAGTGAAGTACTCCAAAAAACGTTTATTACTCAAATTCTCAGCCACTTGTACCCTCAGTCACATTCTGAATGTTACAGTCACACGTCTACTTTTTTCATTTTGAATTGATTTCGGTATTACTCGCGATCATTATGCCTGGTTCTCGGCGTCATATGGATGTGGAAACAGCAACAAGAGCAGTGTTTATGCTTCAGGAGGGAGAACCTCAGAGATCAGTGGCAAGACGTCTTGGTGTGTCGCGACGAGCTATTCGAAACGCGTGGGAACGCTTTCTAGAGACAGGTAGTGTCGCGAGGAGATCTGGACAGAAAGAGCGCGAGCTACAACCGTTCAGGAAGACCGGTATATCAGATTGACTGCACGTCGAGAGCGTACGATTCCCGCCCGCGTCTTACAAAATCGATTGCGGCAATCGACTGGCACACGAATTAGTGATCAAACCATTCGAAATCGGCTCCATGAAGACAGACTACGTTCCAGATCTCATGTTATTCGTCTAAAATTGACAAGAGCGCATCGTGCAGCACGTTTGAGGTTTGCTCGCGAGCATGCGGAGTGGACAATGGACAACTGGAGAAATGTACTCTTTACGGACGAAAGTAGTGAAGTTTTTCAGCAATGATCGTCGAGTGCGCGTGTGGAGAAGAGAAGGAGAATGTTTTTCAGAACCTTGCATACATGGAACTGATCGTTTTGGAGGTCCAAATGTTATGGTGTGGGCTGGAATAAGCTTGCTCGGTAAAACTGAGCTGATAATTCTGGAAGAAGACTCCATAACTGCCTCCCGGTATGTCGATCGAATAATTCGGCCCGATGTCATCCCATTTTCACAAAGAGTGGGTGAAAACTTCATCTTTATGCAAGACACTGCTCGCCCACATACAGCGCAAACAACCAAGAGAGGTCTCTCTGAAGCCAATATTACGGTTTTACCGTGGCCGGCCATGAGTCCCGATCTTAACCTCATTGAACATTTATGGGACCAATTGAAAAGAAGCCTCAAATCGAACTTCAGTAATGTGACTAATCGACAAGAGCTCATAAACGCCCTAAAATTGTGTTGGGAGCGAATACCCGAGGAAAGCATCACCTACTTGATTGAAAGTGTCCCAGATAGATTCAGAGAGTGCATACGGAACAGAGGAGGACCTATTCGCTATTAAGCACCATCAGTCATTGATTTAGTTAATAATAAAAATCAAAATCAAACTTTACTTAAATAAATAATTTCTGTAAACTTTCCTAAAAAACTGTAAATTTTGACTAAATTCCATAAAATTAGCGAAGCTTACTCTTGTTAATGTTCACGCACTTTCAAAAACCTTAATTTATTCATTCCTCCATTTCCATTCATAAAAACTGAAAAAAGAAAAAGTATCTGTAAAATTCATTTATGAAACATGGTGGGCCCTATTTTGTTTTGAGTAGTTTATGTTTGAGCTCTAAATTTCACAATATATGAAAAATTAGTAATTGCAATTGTAAGTGCTGATATACCACATGCTTGCAAACTAAATGCATGATGGAAAAATAAAAAATATTTGAAGGCATGTGAAATTCACCAACATGCAGTGGAGTGTATACAGGCTGTATTTCTTTGCATTATTTTACTATCAATCTCATATCTTTGCAGTGTTAACAAGTTTGGGGTTTATGAACTTTCATGTAAAAAAGTGCTGGTAAGTTTTTCCATCATGGTTTTGAACTGAAAAATGTTATTCAAAGGGCTCTTGTTATTATAAATGTTCCTTCAAGTGTATAGAGGCTTGTGAAATAATTAAAGACAATGGCAGGAGACGTGATTGATGACTAATTTCTTGGGAGAGAGGCAATGCCGTAGTGTGCAATGCCATGTTTGCAAACACTGGTGACTTTTCATTTCAGGGGTACCTCGTTTAATGCTAGGGTGACATCAGCGGTGGTTGAACTGGGTAAGTGGGGCAAGTATGATTCTGAGATATATACATAACATATTTGTGCCATTTGTTGTTGATCTGTAAGGGGTCTTTGTGTAGTGAACTTCCTAAAGAAACTGTATCTACAACTTGTTGTTGCCACTGTTAATAGAAGAGCTTTCCTAGCACAAAGGTTATAAGGCTTAAAGCTTCAGCAGGGATAAGCACGGTAAAGGACTGTATTTTAATTTTAATTATTTTTTAATATCAAAATAAATATTGTATATTTATGCTATATAAATAATTTAAATTTGTTTTCATGTTGTTCATAAATTGATAAATCTTTACATTGAACAATATGTTTAAAATACATAAGTATAACAATCGCAACAAAAGTAATACAAAAAGACTGACTTGACTTATTGATACATAAAAACAATCATTAATGATAGAGCAACTACATAGTTTTTATATTATCAATAACCAAAAAATTCACAATTTTATTAATTTAACATCATCTAAGTATTTTTTTTACAGGAGAGGGGGAAAACGAGCATACGGCTCACCTGATGGTAAGTGATTACCGCCGCCCTTGAACAAAAGTCTAGGCACAAACAAAGGTAATATTATAATGGAAGGAGACCTTGTCCTTGTGAAGTGAGGACAGGAAAATTGACAAAGATGTTCATAAATTTATGTACTTAGCATGTATTTAATATTTTAACATTATAAAATTTCATATTTCACAAAAATCTGTGCATATATTTTATTTCAGATTTGTTTTTAATATATACTATGGGAACAAAATAATTAATTGCTGCTACCTGCACTTGGAATCCAAATGGACCCAAAAAGTGGATTTGATTGTTCTTATAAATCATAAAATATATTCATTGTAATTGAATCTGTAGCTATTATAGAAATACACTCACCAGCTAACAGAGAAACAAAACACAGATAGACACCATTGACAAAATTCACTATTATGTAAATTTATATTGAACCAAAAGAAATGACTATTTGTTAAGTTATTACAAAGCAATCACAAGATCGCGAACGTAAAATAATCAGAATTAAGAATAACACCTAAGAACGGTAAACAAGGAGGTGTTATCTACCCGTGCTATCTTCGTGAAATCACAAAGAAACTTGAACAATGGCACTTTATCTGCGGTTATTAGGCGCAATTGCGAGACCTACAATCAAGTTTTTTTTTCTAATAACTTATCGGTCGCAGACGAGAGCGCGTCTGCTGTAGTGATGACTAACCGTATCTGTCCGTATCAATCTACTTCCTCCGTTGTCCGATCACTGAATCGCCCTCGACCAAAATCAGCTGGACGAAATGAAATCACAAGACGTCATTTGACTATAAAATTACTCCACCGAAAACACTTTAGCACATATAATATAAGAAATGCTACTGCATTAGGTTTATACTAGACTATATTCGATAAAATGACGCATTTACTTGATTAAAAGAATTACATGAAAGACGTACCCTCCCTGTTATTATATTGACGATATACACTTATTGGTGGGCGACAAATCCTCACAAGGTCGCCGTGATGCCCAAAATTTCATTAATTACACACTTAAACCAATAAAATCATTAATTTGAAATGCTAAACTAGAAAATCTAGCACAGAAATGCGAAATGACCACGAACAAACATGGAAGCGAAACGAGAGAGCGAGCGAGACGATTTTTAGAATAGTGTCTATGGAAATAACTTCCTTTGTCTATACAAAACTTGAAAAAGAACGAAATCTCATAAGGCTCGCCACATACATACGGAATTACGTTTCGAGATTCCGTTTCGGAATCCCGATTCGGGATTCCGAACGCAGCAAGTCCATATCAGGCCCGCCTTACACTACATACGGAATTCGGAACGAACGGGTCGACCATACACATACGGAATCCCGTTTTGTCCGCAAATTTTCGAAGGGATAAATACCGTACGTATGTAGCGGGTCATTGATATTATATGCACTTGCTGCGTTCGGAATTACAAAATGCAATATCGAAGCGGACTTCCGTATGTATGTGGCGGGCCTTAAATCAATGATCCGCCACACGTACGGTATTTTTCCGTACGGAATTTTCTCCGAATCGAGATTCCGTATGACCGCCTCTGCGTTCGGAATCCCGATCGGAAAAAAACGCTCCGAACGCAAGTCTTCCATAGATTTTGTATGAATCGCAACACACATTCGATAATTCCGTAAGGAACGCGCCCAGTGTGTGTCGCAAATCCGAAGTTGTAATGATAGTGGTTTCCCCATTATCACTACAACAAATATAAGCACGGAATCGTCTAACAGGTACCAATAAAATGGATAGTTGAAATCAGAAGAGTTCTTTAACATGTGTGTTTAATCGTTGTAATTTAAAGTACTTAGTTAAATCAATGATTTCGAAAGGAAGGATAGGACCATCTAAACGTTTTTATCATAACTTTTTATACAAGAAAAAGTAGCGCATCTGTTATAATACAAACGTCATATCACAACACGACGTAACCAGGGTCGGATTTTGTAGTATAATTATCCTAATTGTACCATTATTTCATAGTTTGTAGTATATAGTATCATAATAATACTAAGCGAAAATACCATAATATTACCCAAATTTATATTATTACTGGGTCCTTTTACTTTTTATTATTAACCCTACGATATCGAGAATTTCTGTATTGTATTGTAATCGGAGCTCGGTCGATGCATTTATGTTGCATCCTTTATACAACTATAATGAGGGGCTACCACAATAAAAACTCTATGCTCCAGAAGCAATCGGTTTGAAAACAGAATTTTAAAATATATTATGAATCTGATTTTCAGATTCAATTAAGCAGATATGGTTTCTTTTGTACTTTTTTCGTTTTTGCCTTATTGAATATAAAATATATTAGGTACCAATATTCAAAATTTAACACACACTAAGTTTTTTAGACAAAAATAAAACAGAAATAAAAATAAAACCTTCAAAAAGCGAAACGTATATTAGACGCATGACGCCAAAATCCCGGCACATGGCAAAAAAGAAACATGAAACGTCAAACGTGATATAATTTTTTTAAATAGTATAACTTTTATTTTCCATGTACAATATTTTTGAGAGTCCGAATCCAACCCTGGCCTAATCTTGGTAACGTAACTAAACTAAATGTAAAAAAACATTGTTACGAGCTTGAGGTTCATGACAATAAAAATTGCCGATAAAATTACCTAAATTAACACTTTAATTTACTTTACACAAATTAAAGTTAAAAACACTAATAATTAAACACACTAATTCACTTTATTCCGCTCCGAAGCTTCGCTTGTTTCGCCAAATCAACACTACTTCCATTGCATCTTGCAGCGCCTACTTATATAAATTAGCAAAGAAATATCCAGAATGTTCAAGTAAACCCGCACAAGGTACCGAGCGTTCGAGTTTCGACTAGGCGCTGTCGGTTGAGTGATTTGTGATGTCATTTTCTCAATGCTCCCCTCGCTCTCGTTCCTGACACTAGATGGCGCTAGTGTATCGTTGACTGGAGCGCGTAACACTGGCCCCTCCTAAGACATGCTCGTCCCGAGCATTATCAGCCCCATAATAACGCGGCAAGCGATTCACATGGACGATCTTAGGAGTCCCTCTTGCGCCTTTCTGTAACGGCTCCGCAATGTCAAGGGCTGTCCTATCCCGTGGTGCACCAACATTGTACAATTTCGGTGCTCCTCTACTACGTGTCCGAGGTCCCCGCTCGGCCGCACAACTTGTACATGTACGACACCAATCCTCGACATCGTCACGATAATGGACCCAGTAAAACTGTTCTCGGACCTTCAGTAGAGTTCGTTTAACTCCCAGATGGACTCTTGAACGACCATTATGGCACAACTGTAGAACATTCGGCACTTTAGCTTTAGGGACAACCATTTGCAAACGAATGCTGTCTCTTCGACCATTGTCCCATTTACGGCACAGGACTCCATCCTGAATCAGCAAGCTGTCCCATTGGGCCCAATAGCTTTTCGTGGTTGAACTCATCGCTGAGACGTACCTCCACTTAGGCTTGGTAGCACGGGCCTTCATCCATCCCAGAATCGGCTTGATGTCCGGATCTTCCTGCTGTGCATGTCGTAGGTTGTCCTTCCACCCGTTGCTGAGGTGGTCTGTCCTGAGCATCCTCACGGATACCACCTCCTTACTCTCTTGCCTACTACAATGGTTGCAATCTTCAGGATAAGGTCTTCTTGACAATGCATCTGCGTTGCCGTGAGATTTCCCGCTGCAGTGTCTGATAGTAAAGTCGTATTCCTGCTGCTGCTGGGCGGTGCTGTTAGCCGCACTTCCTTTCTGAGACCGTTCACCTTCCCTTCGTAGGGTGTGCTCAGGGTAGCTGGACCGAAGATGGCCCCTTTCCCCACAGCCATAGCACCTAGGGCTGTATCTTTTATTGTGGTCGCGAACCGTAACTGCTGTAACCTCCCTAGCGTGAGGTGAACGATGATCCTGTTGCCGCCAGGCAGTGTCGTTAGCTGCATTAACCTCTCGAGATCGATCAACTCTCCTTTCCACGGTTCGCTTAGGGCAGCTGATTCGAAGATGGCCTTTTTCCCCACAGCCATAGCACCTAGGGCTGTATCCTTTGTTGCGGTCGCGAACTGTAGCTGCCGCAACCTCCCTGACGCGATGGGGACGATGATCCTGCCGCACGGCTTCCACTTCCAGTGCATGGGCCAAGGCATTCTTAAGCGTCTCGTGGTGCCCGAGCCTCACAGCAGCTCTGACTTGCAGGTCGCGGATGCCGTCGATGAATGTCTGCACCAGGTTCCCTTCAATGAGCGCAGGTATAGACCGGTATGCTTTCCGCACCAGCTTCTCCACCTCTAGAGCCCACTGCTGCAGGTTTTCATTGATGCGCTGCACGCGATCTTTAAGCTGCGCACGAAAGACATGTTCCAGGTGAGCGTCGCCATATCTCGCCTCCAAGGAGTTGCTCATAAGTCACTTCCTCCCCGAGAGCTTCCAGAACTGTTAAGGCCTGGTCGCGCAGGCCTAGTATGAGAGCAGTCACTGCCTGACTGTTATTCCAGCCGTTCGCCTTCATAACAGCTTCGAACTGGATTTTGTAGGCTGACCAGGAAGAAGTCCCGTCGAATGGTGGCACCTTGAACCCACGTAGCGAAGGTGTAGTAGCTACTACGGGAGCTGTATTTCCCTCCCCAAGTTTGAGTTCGTCAAGTGATTTCCTCATGTCAGCCATTACGTTGTCAACCCGATTGTTCACTTGGTCAATTCGGGTTTCAGCTTCCGACAGGCGGTTATTGAGCAACCCTATTCTTCACCTCCCTTATCTCTTTCCCGAAGGTAGCGTGAAGGTCCTTCATGAGAAACATCTGTTCCTCCTGTCGGCGGGCCTGTTCTGCCTGTCCACTCTGCAGCTGCTCTTTCAACTGACGGACCTGTTCCTCCTGTCGGCGAGCCTGTTCTTCCTGCTGCTCTTTCAACAGACGGGCCTGTTCCTCTCGTCCGCGCTGCAGCTGCTCCTGTAGCATCGCCATCAGAGCACCTAAATCAGGTGCTGCAGATGCAGGAGCTACTGACGAACCGGCCTCCGTTGCCGGCGGCTGGCCTTCCGACGTCTGCGGCGTTGCACCACCAAATCTTCTCTGGTCCGTCTCATGCTGGCGTTGACTGCGGGTACGAACACCCTCCGTTTCCTCCTTAGGTAAAATCGGCATGATTTTATCCCACTTCTGACACCAATTGTTACGAGCTTGAGGTTCGTGACAATAAAAATTGCCGATAAAATTACCTAAATTAACACTTTAATTTACTTTACACAAATTAAAGTTAAAAACACTAATAATTAAACACACTAATTCACTTTATTCCGCTCCGAAGCTTCGCTTGTTTCGCCAAATCAACACTACTTCCATCGCATCTTGCAGCGCCTACTTATATAAATTAGCAAAGAAATATCCAGAATGTTCAAGTAAACCCGCGCAAGGTACCGAGCGTTCGAGTTTCGACTAGGCGCTGTCGGTTGAGTGATTTGTGATGTCATTTTCTCAATGCTCCCCTCGCTCTCGTTCCTGACACTAGATGGCGCTAGTGTATCGTTGACTGGAGCGCGTAACAATATTTAAAAATGCGTTTATATAATAATTTATATATTTATTGTAACAAAATTAATATAAGGTTATTAACCTATGATACGATATCCCATGTTCCTTTTAAATCTTTGTATCGTAATTTTTGCATCCTTTTACCACGCAACTAGACATATTTATGACAGGCAAATCAGTACTGCGCGCGCACCACTGTCGACCGACTCGCGTTGGCTCTAAACTCTAATTGTAGGGCCAGCGCATTGGTCCGTTTTAGTTGTTCGGTCGGCCCGGTCCTTACGCTAGTAATATATAAGTCACTGAGTTAAACTCGAAAAAAAGTCAAATCGACAAATTAATAAGAAGTTACATTACAAATCGTAATTGCTTCATAAT